GGCAGCACTGCGGCCTTCGGTGGAGGTCCTTGTGGGGCCACGAAACGTGTGACGGACGTGCCGGCATGGGTGTGCGCGACGCATGCGGGCGGCGGCACTGGCGCCTTCGGTGGAGCTCCCTGCGGAGCCACGAAACGCGCGACGGACGTGCCGACATGGGCGTGCTCGACGCTTGCGGGCGGTAGCGCCGCGGCCTTCGGTGGAGCTCCCTGTGGAGCCACGAAACGCGTGAGGGGCGCGCCGACATGGGCGCGCGCGACGCACGCGGGCGGCGGCTCCGGGCCCTTCGGTGGAGTTCCCTGCGGGGCCGCGAAAAATGTGAGGGGCGCGCCAAAATGGGCGCGCGCGACGAACGCGGCCGGCGCAAGGAGGAGAGGGGGGGAAGGAAGGAGGGAAGGAGGGATTGCGGGGACCATCTCTTCAAAACGAAGACCCAACACCACAGGATGGTTGGGGAAAACCTTGATTTCCACGTTGTTGTTGCAAGTGTTTTGGATTCTCGCCTCGCCGGGCTTCCGACGGCCCAGGACGGCCCAAGAGGCTCCCCAGATCGTCCCAAGATGGCCCCAGAAGCTCCCAAGAGGGCCCAAAGGCGGCACAAGCGGGTTCCCGGACTGCCCTAGAAGGCTCGCAGACGATAGAAGGCTCGCAGACGACCCACCAAGGCCCCTGGAGGCTCCCGAAAGAGCCCCAAGCGGGCCCCAAGCGGCTTCCAAGAGGGCCCCACGAGGCCCCACGGAAAGCCCCAAGACGACCCAAGCCCTCCAGGACGCCCCACGACGGCCTCAAGGGGCCCCAGGACGGCCCATGACCTAAGGTCCCGACAGGGCCCCAGCAAGACCTTGAGGTGAGGAGGCAAAACACATGTGGCAGACCGACCGACCATTTTCCAAAGCACGACAAATCTGTCTATAAAAACTCGGCGAGAGGCGGATACATAGGCGCAAGCACGACGCTGCGAGACCGGCACTACACGAGCACAAAAAGCGCCTGACCACGGACGGTCGCAACAATGACGCGCAGAGCACTGCCACGTGGCAGACCGACGTTTCCTTTACCAAAGCACAACAAATCTGCCTATCGAAACTCAACGAGAAGCGAGGCACATAGGTGCAAGCACGACGCTGCGAGACCGGCACTACATGAATACTGGAGGCGTCTGCAAACCCACTTTGAAAACCCCGAAACACTCCCGAATTCGATTGTTTGCTGAATCAAGGAGGCACATATTCCTATGTTTAGCGAGAGGACAAGGTAGGCTTGGGCGAACAGCGTCCAACATATGTGTAGTCTTGGATGTTGGCCCGTTAGCTCAGCGTGCTTTTTCACTTTGAAAGTGCAGTAGCGCCTCCCGTGGCAGATGCGCCCTTCGAATTTTCTGAGCGCTCTGGGATCCGCCTGTCCAAAAGTAAATGAATACGTTTCCGAGAAAGGTCGTCCATATGATCCGAAACCGATGGAAAACTGATGGCAAGTATCTTGGGCGGCCAGGGCGATAATCTCTGGGAGCTTCCATATGTCACCGATATATGGGGTTCTACAGGACCCAAGGCAAGGGGCCTTTTTCCTGTTAAGTTCATCTATCATTTTGAGAACAGAGCGCACGATTATGTTTCCGCCCTGTCAAATCGCGAGCGCTGAATTTCGAGCGGTCAGACACCCCCAAGGTTCGCGCGCAGTACGTATCATATAAATTATGTTTCTGGCTAAAACTGAAACGTGTACAAGGCGCGGTCGGACAGGCAGCCACGACTCGCCCGTTGGAGATCATGGCCAGCACGTTCGAGAAGACCTTCGGGTCGGCGACATCCACGCCGGCGCTGATCTTCGCGTCATAGCAGCGCGCGGGCGCACCAGGGCAAGCGAATGACCTGCCCACAGCTCCGCGGCCACTGAAGACAGTGGCGCAGAACTGGCCTGCTTTCAGGCCGACCGGACGCGCATTGGCATTGGGGCCTTTCGGCCGAAGAAGATACCCTCTGGGTACCTGTCGGCCTGGTCGAGCGGGCCCAGCTGCTTCGGGCCCAGGTCGCTCGCGGACTTGTTCAGAAGCGGCGCGCTCTCGGAGCGGCGCGGCCTCGAGTCGGCGGCCCAGCCGCCCCTCTTCCTCACCTCGAGGACGCCCCTGAACCTGCCCTTGCGGTCGAGGCTCGCGCCGCCGCGGCGGGCCCGGCAGTCGCGAGCTTCGGCGGGGCCACCCGGCAGGCAGAGATCATGAACTGCCGCGGCATCCGGCTGCACTTGCGGTCGAGCAGCAGGCCGCCAGGGCCGCCTTGAGACACTTCCTCGAGGAGACGCGGCAGCCAAGGAAAGATCCGGTTTTTTCAGCGCGACGGTTTCGCGCCGACGGCCGGCCCCCACCACCTCGCCCCTCGACTCTGGGAGGAGCGCCACGCCCCAGTCCGCGGTGCCACCGCGGGCAAGACGGATCAGGTCTCGCCGCCGAACTGTCCGGGGCCCCCCCCGGCCCGCGGCGGGCCGCGACCATCCAGACGATCTGCAGAGCCATCTGCCGAAAGCCTCGAAAGGCTAAGTCGCACGCGGCTGCAGACCAGACGAGGCGAACCACTGGGTCGCGACTTCCGGAGCCACTCAGGCGGCGCCAGCCGCGGAGGGCCCGCCAAGAGCGCGGGAGCTCCCTGGAGCCACGCTTGCCAACGGTCGGGAAGAAGTGGGCCATGGCCGCCATCGAAGTTCCTCCACGGTGGACGTGTTCCCCAGCTGCAAACTCCTCGCTCACGAAGGTCATCACGGCGCCGTCGACCGCGGCATCCCCGCCGAGGCCCGCTTTGCTGCCGGGCGCGCGGTTCCAGAAGTCTCGCGCGGCGTTTCTGCAGGCGCGGGCCGTCGCTTCCTCGACCGCGGCGCGCTCGAGGGAGGCGACCTCGCCGGGGCGGCCAGAGGCGACCGACTTCACGATCAAGAGCTGCCGGCTTCGAATCACGACCTTCAGCTTCTGGCCCGCCGAGGGCGCGTCGGGCTCTGTCGAGGCCTCGTTCTCGTCAACCGAGTCGGGCAGGCGACGGTCGTCGTCTGGCTTCTGCAGGGCCCTGCTAAGCACCTCATTGCAATCTGGTTATGAGAGGACCTCGCTAAGACCCTTGCGGGCCCTGCCGCTGGAGCCCTCGGTGGGGCCCCCTATGGGGCCAAGAAGCGCTGTCCTGGGTAGCGTTGACGCGTGCGGACCCTGCCACCGGAACCCCCTCGTGGCCCACGATATCCTCGCTGGATGGGGTCCTTGTTGGACTTCTGCTTTTGTCCCGCTGAACGTTGTTTTCTCCTGGGGCGGTTACAATCTTGTCATCGTCATAGGTCGGGCCATAAAATATTGAGCCTCGGTCGGTCGGGCTGGCCTCGCCGGGAAGCCATCCAACATGCATCTTCACGTCATGGGCCAATCACAGGGCCACAGCAGGCCCAATACAGACCAGGAACTCACAGTTCCGGGAGCGCCCCCGCTCGAAACAAAGAGCGACTGACACGTAGTCGGACAGCAAGAGCGCGCGACGTCCGGAAGCCCCGGTAGCACCGGCGAGAACTTCTAACGCACGGAGGAGGATGCGGCTCTCAAGAACGAGGATGCTCTCAGAGGACCTCTCCCAGGACCCGACAACGACTTCCTCCCGCTGGCTCTCGTCAAACAGGCTGGCATCCATCTACCCCCCATTCTGGGTGGGAGCAAGGCGTAGCCTCCTCATCCACCTCTGCCCATGGGCGCCAGTGACCTTCTGAATTGAGACGAGAAATTCCCATTCACGGCAAGGAAGTGGCCTCGCGCCGAACGGCCAGCCAAGATCTTGAAACGAGAGCGCCCCTGGATACGGCCGATCGCGCCCACCCTTTCTGACCCTATGTTGCTCGCGCTAACAGCATTACCATGCCCCGAGGCGTCGGCGACGCAGCCACGGGATGCCAGCCCCTGAACCACTCGCCAACGAGAAGATACATCAGACCGAAGGAGGCCACGACCTCACGACGATTCGACACCGACAGAGGCGCCGCGGTAAGGTAGTCGGCCTGGATAAACTTACTAGAGGGGGCTGAAGACGCACTGGGTGCCCCTGTTGCAGAGCCCCAAGAAGGCACAGCGTTCGAAGAGAATCTCCCAGGCGCGACCACTGCGGGCCCGGCAATGCAGGGCCCTGCATAGGGCCTGTCTGGTTCCCCAGTAACTCTTCGGGGCAATGCGGGCGCATAGGCCGTCACCGTCGAGCGCGCATCCCAGGCCGCCCCCCCCCCGCCACGCGCCCGCGAAGAACCCGCCCCCGAGCGCATCCAGTCCAGCGCTGGCGAGGCGGGCGGAGGTGTCAGCCATGCTATCTCGCACCTGTTCTTTTCTCCAACCGAGCACTCCCAGGTTATCCGCGTGCACGTAGTAGGCGCACACGGCGGCTCTTCGGCCTTCAAGAGCAATCCAAATCGCCGGTCGCTGAGACCAGGCGCGGGGGCCAACCCGGGGGCCGAACCCACGATGCTCTCGTTCGTACGCTGGCAGAAGTAGAGGGGCAAATTAAACCCCATTGGTAGTAGATCCCCCAAAGCTGGACAGACCCAAGAGTTGACCCCCACGAAGACGCCCCCGACTCGCTTCCCACACAGACCCACTTCACTGGCACGAACGGGCTGGAGGCAGAAGAAGGCAGAAGAAAGGTCACGGTCTACCTTGAATATGCGAAAGGCGTCTTTGACATCCGAATTACCTAGGCAGAATCTGAAGTCGCGATCTCTGGACAGGCGCTCGACAGCGCGGCGGCCCACCACACGCTTCGCCAAACCTTCGGCGATCACGAGGCCCACTCCAGGCGGCGCACAAAAGTGGCGCGTCGTCAATCAACCGCAACCGACCTGCATCCTTCTTGGCAACGAAAAAATGCCCACCCCTCCTCCGCCCCATCGGTGCTCAGAAACAGCCAGAGGCCACCGCGCCGTAGATTCCGCGGCAGACGCAGGCACTTTGCGCGACGATGGAGGAGAGAGGGGCCCCAGTGAGGCCTCAGTCCTCAGTCCGCTACCTGAGCCTCTCGCTCGGGAGGTGGCAGCAGCATGCGCTTCGCATCACCACCCAAACAGCGGCGTGCACCTGGCGGCAGAACCTCGGCGAGGCACGGGGCGCCATGCACTGACTCGGGGACTGAGATCTTCCGCACCTGCCGGAGACGGCCAATGCTGCTTCCGCCCAGCTCGGCCGCATAGATCGACCGCCCGTTGGGGAGGTTTTGAAACGCCTCCCGCGGCGAAGGGATCGCGTCCTCGGTGAGAGTAGCCCCGACAGCACTCACGACGCGCGCATGCACCTTCACGGAAAGATCGGCATCCTGCGGTCTGTCCGCCGCGCCACGATAAGTGCAAGCAATTAAGGGTATCAACGATACCATTCGACTCGCGAACCAACCGCCTCTCACGACGGGCACTCCGAGCAGAATCTCTCCATCGGCGGCCGGGGAAGTAGCTGGCGCCGAGGCTCGGCAAAGGAAAAGGGGAGCGAAGGCCGACGCCCTTCCCTCCTGATGGTCTGCAAAAACCCCTGCAGGCCGCCCGTTCCTGACAGAGGCGTTGGGGCCATTGCTTGACGGCCGCCGCCTGGGCAGTGGCAGGAAGGCCGTCGGCGGCGTCTTTAACAGTCGGACCCCACGGCATTTGCCCGCTGAGGCGGCTCTTCATGTTCTCGACGTTTGCCTTCTCCTTGTTCTTGCGCGCCACCGAGCTCTTGAGACCAGGGCCAACGACCTCGAGAGGCCCGCTAAAGCCCATGTAGTGCTCGAGCCCCTGCCACTTCGGCCGTGACGGGTCGACCATGTAGGCCTCGGTGATCTGGGCGACCCTCCTGCACAGCACCTCGATGCACGCGAGGGATGCTAGGTTGAGCCAGTCGTAGCTGCACGGCCGCCAGGAGCGCATTCATTTCGATGGTGGCGCGCTCGTTCTGGCCGACGCCCTTCTCACGGAGCCAGATCGCCAGCCACAACAGAGGATCGCCACCAGACCGGTCAACCCTTTTCGCCATGTGCAGGTCTGCGAGCGCTGGCCATCGAACGGCAAATCGGGGAAGGAGTGGAAACGTAACTCCCGAGCGACAGACCTCCAGGCTTTGCGTCGCTCGCCGCTCTCGTCGGTCACGACCCACAGAGTCCACACCTCGTCGGACTCATCCCTCAGCTCGCCCTTCTCCTAGTGCTCGGCGAGGGCATCGGCTCTCTCGCCGACCTCAGGCAGGCCCTCAAGGACCTCGCTATCAGCGCAGCGGCGGTCACCCACCCAGTCCTCGAACGCCTTAGCCCGATAGTGGCCGCGCACCCACTTCACGAAATCAGCAAGCTCCGCAGAACTGCGATCACCTGTCCTGATCACCGCGTTGCGCTCGTCCAACCTGATGTCGTGTCGGGTCAGCTGCACTGCGCGGCCAAGGCTCGGGGCCTCGGCCGACGCCCACTCGAGCCCGTCAGGTGGGTCGAGCTCATTCCTCGGGGCGTTTGCCCCCTCGGGCGGGTTCTCGACCCACGGCGGCGCCGGCGGGGCCCCACACAGTGGCTGCCGCCGAAGGGCCGAGCTGAACGGCCTGATCGCCCAATCGTCGAGGTAGTGGCTTGGGTCCATCAGCGGCTCGCCAGCCCGTTCCTCGCGAATGCGGCGCCTCAGTTCGTTGCGCTGATCTCCTCGGACGGCTGGTAAAACTTGCCCTCCTTCACCGGCGGCCGACCTCCCTCACGATCGATACGAAAGGCTCGCGAGCAGCCCTCGGGGTCTTGGCACGCCATGTTCTCGGCGCTGCAGTCTCCACCAAGCGACAGGGCGTACCACACGGTCAGCGACATGGGGCAGATGAGAGTCCGATGGTGCCAGACGTCATCGTCATCATACCACAAGGCCACAGTGTCGCCTGGCAGCAGGTAGCTGCAGAACGCCTGCACCCCGACGGCGGAGCCGTCCGCCAGGCGCAGCTCCGGCCACCTTCCCTTGTGCGGTATCTCATCTCCTCGCTGGCGGCAACAGCCATCTCGTCGGCGGCACAGAAAAAGGCCCAACCCGCTCTCGACCAAGCCCACGGCTGCGATAGCCCACCCCTTGAGTTCGCTGTCCTCCGCGGGCGGTGACTCCACGGCCGAAAAGCACACCACCTCGACGGGCGGCCTCTCGAGCGGGCAGACAGGACCGCCCACCAACGCCTCGACGCCGACGCTGAGGTTCCACACGGCCTGCTCCGCGCGCGCCAGTCGCTGGCCCACGGAGTTGAGCTCGGCCTCCAGCGGCGCCAGGTGCGCGGGCGGCCACTCGGGCGGCACAGGGCACACGGGAGGGAACAGGCTTTGTGGGAGAAAACAAGCGTGGAGACAGATTCTGGACAGTATCGACACCTCGCTGACAGCGAGGGCGGTCGTGCGCCCCGACATGCCCCAAACACTTGAGCAGATGTGCCCACGCACGGCCGCAACAATGACGTGCAGAGGCCACTGGGATCCCTCAGGTTGTTGCATGTTTCTTGGACTCTCGCCTTTTCGGGCTTCCCGCAGCCCAGGATGGCCCAAGAGGCCCCCAAGATCGCCCCAAGAGGGCCCCAAGGCGCCCCAAGAGGCCCCTGGGGCGGCCCCAGAGGGCCCCAAGTCGACCCACGAGGGCCCCTGCAGGCTTCTAAGAGAGCCCGAAGGGAGCCCCAAGTGGCTTTCAAGAGGGCCCCAAGAAGCCCCGAGGAATACCCAAACACGGCCAAAGCCCTCCGAGACACCCCAAGGCGACCCACAAGGGCCCCAGGACGGCCCAAGAGGGCGCCAAGAGGGCGCCAAGAGGGCCCACCAGGGCCCCAACAGGACCCCCAAGAAGGCCCAGAGGCGCCAAGCTCGCAACACCAGGCAGAGCGAACGGTGACGTAAACAACTTTTAACACCAGGGCTCCCCAGAGCGAACGGTGACGTGAAAAGCTCTGAGCACCAAGGCTCCCCAAGAGCCCATAGTGACGTGACAAGCTCTTAACACCAGCGTTGCCCAAGAGCGAACTGTGACGTTAAAAGCTGTAAACACGAAGGCTCCCAAGAGCGAACGGTGACGTAAAAGGTCTAAACACAGAGGCTCCAAAGAGCCCACAGTGACGTCACACGCTCTTAACACCAAGGCCCCGAAGAGCGAACGGCGACGTCAAAAACTCTGAACACCAAGGCTGCCAAGAGCCCACTGTGACGTGACAAGCTCTGAACACCAAGGCTCCCCCCAGAGCGAGCGCGTTCATGGGACAGCGCAACTATACAGAATTGCTCGTATCGTTTTGGCTGCATCCTCCACGGGAAACCCGCCACTATATAGAAGACACGTGATCGTCTTCATAATGCCAAGACGCATAATGATTGCGATCGTTTGGGCTGCACACACAAGGAGAAAGCCCTACAAAATACACGTGATCGCCTTCAGGATGCCAAGAAACAAAATGATTTGGAACGTTTTGGCTGCACTCTCCAAGGGAAACCCGCCACTATATAAAATGCGGGTGATCGTCTGCTATACACGAGCGCCCATGTGACAACGCCGCTGTACAAAAATGATTCAGATTGTCTTGGCTGCAACCTCCAGGGGAAACCCGCCACTATATAAAATGCGCGTCATCGTCCTAATGCTTCCCAAGGCCGTCTGCGATAGATGCATGCCAGTAGGGAAAACACGTCAATATACGAAGTGTTTTGTTGTTGACACATCAGCCCGGGGCAAGCCAGAGAAGCCGGTGTCAGGAGGGGCAGGAGATCTTGAGCACGCTGTGCGCTCTCGCGCCAGCAGGCGGAGAATGCGACACGTGCAATCACGTGAAATTGTGACCGTTTTGATTGCACATTCCTGGGGAACCCCCCCACTACAAGACACTCGAACCGCGCGCGCGCGCTGATCATCATGCCAGGTTAAAACTCGAACGGATCTCTTGAATCCATCGCGAGAAATCTGACCTTCGCGCCATAAGATGAGAATTCGACGCGGGAAAACCTGAAGATCCGCCGCCCCCCGCTTGCCACGGGTGAGGAGGCCTGTGTGAGACATTTGGCTGTCCCCGTTTTCCTGTGAGGAGGCGTGTAAGACATTTGGCTGTCCCCGTTTTCCCTTTCCACTTCCACAGGTGTCCAGAATCCCGCTCCCCGGGAGGGGGGGTGGGCGAGCTCCTCAACGCCTTCGCAGGGCTCTCCGGAGCCTCCGGGGATAACCATCGGTCGGAAGAAGTAGCTAGAAGAAGTAGCTAGAAGCATGAAGTAGGAAGGCGTTGGAAGTAGTTCGGGCTTCCGCCCGCCCCCTGAAGAGGAGGGAAGAGGGAAAGCCACTCGATCCCTGAAGTGGTAAGGCGCTGAAAGTAGATTGGAATCTTGATGAGATAGTATGTCGATGGACAAGATATCTCTTTTCCATCTTGAGCCAAAATGGGTGCACGGAGGAGGGTGTCAGAATCACTCCTCCTCGGGCCTGGCCGCCAACCCGGCCAGGCACGACCTACGTCGTACGCGGGCGCGCCCAAGCCGACGCGCCCATCTCATCAGCTAGGCTGCGGCCATGCCGCGAGCCCCTCACTCCGTCCGGCGCGATCACACCGCCGCCGGCGGAACCTCATCCAGCCCCACAGGTAGCGGAGCATGGATTCGATCCACTCCATCACTTGAAGTCCTTCTGAGTCAAACTCGGTGTCCGATCCCAGATGTTGAGCGTCGCCATGTGTCTCCTCAAAAGGGATCCACCCACTCTCTTGGTCAGCACGTCCGCGACATTGTTCTTACCAGGAACCGCGGCGATCGAGAGGTCGCCCTTACCCACGCGCTCCTGGATCCACAAGTATCGTGATTGAACATGTCGCATCTTCCCGAGACCCCGCCGTTGGACGTGGCCCCGGGCCGCCGATGAATCCGAGGCGAGCTCTACCTTCAGGTCCAGCCCCCAGTCCGCGAAGAGGCTGTGAAGGCCCAGGCCCACGCTCCCGCCCTTCACCAGGGCGTAGTACTCGCTCTCTCCGCTGCTCAAAGAAACCGTCGACTGCAGATTACTGCCATGCTTGACGACATGATGCCCCAGCATCGCCACGAAGCCTCCGGTGCTCTTCCGGGTGACTGCGCAGCCCGCATGATCGGAGTCCACGTACACCCGGATCTTGTCGAACATCTTCTGCTCCGTGAAAACCGTCACCGTGCTAGGATGCCGCTTGAGGTAGCGGCCAACCCTCTTGAGCATGAGCCAACTCGCCTCCGTTGGCGTCTGCATGGACCTAGCGAGCGTCTTTGATGCCTCTGCCAAGTCCAGCCTGTCCTGAGACAGGTAGGCCACCCTCATGGTGAGGGATCGGAAGCGCGAAGCTTCCGCTGCTCCCAACGCCGCCGACTTCGCATCCATCATCTGCTTGTCGGCGCTGCGCTTCTCCATCGGCGTGTCCACGCCGTTGGCCTTGCTGAGACCCAACTCGTCGATCACGATCTCCGCGTGCCGCTTGTCCGGCTCGATCATCGCATGCCGGCAGGGCCGGCCACCGCCAGGCGGAACTCCCGCACTGACCTCGATGACCCGATTCAGGAAGACCGCCTGCTTGTCATCGCCCTCGTCGAAGCCTAGGTTCGCAGTCTTCTTGAACTCGTACTTCTTGCCCAGCGTGGCCTCGAAGCTGTCGATGTCCTGCTGCTGAGCCAGCACCGCGAAGTCGTCGCCGTGCCCCAGCAGCCTCGTCTCGTCCACCTCCTTGTAGAAGACCGCTGGGCACGACACGCCCGCCTTGTAGCCGTGTTCCTCCAGCAGCTCCGTGTAGTCGCCCTGCCAGATCTTGCTGGCGTCCTGCGTGCCGTACCAGGACTTGAGGAGTAGGCCGCACTTGTCCTCGCCGTACTCCTTGCGACTCTCCTCCTCCAGCTCTACGAAGATCCTCCGCTGCGCCTTCCCGTAGAAGTGCGCCCTGCTGATGTCGAAGAAGCCGATCTTGAAGTTGCCCGGCTTCCTGCCCTTCTTGCGAAGCGACTCCTGAATGTGGAGCGGTGCTTCCCGCGTCCACGTGACCATCAGCGAGACCAGCGACCGCATGGCCTCCAGAGGAGGCATGGCCGAGAAGACCTCGGACGCCTCCAGCTGCTCGTCGGGCGCTTCTTCGCCTTGATCTCCTTCACGACGAGCCTGCTCCTGTAGTTGGGCCTCTCCGCGTCACCCTTGTTCGTGTCGACCCACTTGAGTGGGATGGGCGGACGCCCAGTCTCGGCGAAAGCCTGAGACCTCGGGACGATCTCGATCAGCTCCTGCTTCTTGACCCACTCGCGCTCGACCGCGCGAGCCTGGGCCACAAGGCCCGCCTCCAGGTAGCCGCCATTGACGTCGTCCCAGTAACTCGTCCAGTCCCCGGGCGGCACTGCCGCGTCCACAGGGACTGGGCCCGACTGCTGCACCTGGGCGGTGCTGAGCTCTCCCACGTCATCCAGCGTGTCCTTGAGCTCCTCCAGCACCGCCTCTACCAACTTCGGTGGATAGACCTTCGCGAACCGCGCGATGCCGCCCACGAGCGTGATGTGGCGATGCCATTCCGCGCGGCCGTCCACATTGCTGCAAGTGCCCTGCAGCCTCCGGGCTAAGCCTGGATGGTTGGTGACCCATCCGGTCTCCTTGCGCACGAACTCCTCCTGACCACTGCGTGGGTTCGTGAGCTTCATGCCCCACCGACACATGGGGCCTTTGACCGTGAAGACTCCTGGATGCGCGACCAGCTCCTTGACGATGTCCTCATTCCACGATCGCGCGCTCCAGGGATGCTCATGCAGGAAGTACCTGCCTGGCTTCCTGAGCTGACGCCAGTAGGCGTCGACTGCCACCTTCAGGTGGTGTCTGGCCTCCTCCATCTCAGCCGCCTCCTGCTCATCGGTCCTGAACTTGGCGCTCAGGCCCCTCAGCAAGCTGAACTTCTCGCATGGAGGGGACCCCGTGAGCAGGATGGGATCCATCCGCTCCTGCTGCCTCTCGAGCTCCTTGACATCCTCGGGGCGCCGCAAGTCCCACGGCGCCCCGTCCTCCTTGAGTTCCTCCAGGTCCGCCGCGAAGCCCGGGCGCAGCTGAAATTCCGCTGCCCGAGCCGAGAACCGATGTGGCGAGTACACCTCGGCCACGTCCACGGCGCCCAGCTGCAACGCCGATAGGGCGATGCTGTCCACCTCTTCGTCGGCGATGTCCACGCCGGCGCTGGCCCAATGGCCACTGACCTGTTCGCGAACGAGCGGGAGCAACTCCGCCTTCGCTCTCGTCAGCACTCCGAGCTCAACCAGCTCGATCGACGCCATATCGAGGGCGAGCACCCGCATGTGCCTCCCCTCACTGGCGTTCCACACGACTGCCACTCCAGCTGGCAGCTGAGGTCCTTCCGCTGGCGCCGGCTGCGCCGCGAGATCCTCCATGTCCACCGGTACCGGCACGTCTGCCGGCTGTGGATCACCGCGCTCGAGGGCCTCCGGCACGTCATCCGGGGCCACCTCTGCCAAGCGCTTCAGCCGCGACCTGGCCGCGGTCATGTCGACATCCGCGGCGGCCTCTGCCGCTCGCGCCGCTCCCGAACTGGAGCTCGCTCCTCCTGAAGGAGCCGCCACGCCGAAGCCCGGTGCTACCGGCTGGCTCTCTCGCATGCGCGCCGCTGTGGCTGCCACGGCTGGCGCTGCTGCCGATCGGGCCGCGGCCGGCGCGGCCGATGCCGCTGCCGCCGCTGCCACCGGCTCGGTGATCCTCCGAGCCGTCTTCGGCGGAGGGGTCCCTGCCGCGGCCGCTGCCGCTGGTCGGACTCTGGCCTCTTGGCCCTGCCTCCGTTCTCGATACTGGCCGGTCCTTTCCCGGCCTGCCTCCTCCGCGTCCAGCGCTTCGAAGATCCTCTTGCTGCACACCGCGTTGTGCGCGTGGCCAGCCAGCACCCGGCCGTGCTTGGCGATCGAGACGCACCCTGGGCATCCCGGCGTTGCGCCCAGCCGCTCGACGTCCGCCTTGAGGACGTACATCCTCCTCGGCGCCTGCGGCTGCGGCGACACCACCACAATTGGTGGCGGTCCGACCTCTCCAGGTCCGACGATGGCCCGCGGCGCGCTTGCCGCACGCGGAGCCACGTCCCACGGCAGGCCCTTCAGGCCATCCCAGCCCGCCGTGATCCACTTCTCGCTCTGCGGCAGGCTGCGAAAGCCTACCGCCTTCTTCACGCCGTCGCTCGTGATGACCATCATCGAGCCGTCGCGCGGGTGGTGGCCGATGTAGCGAGCCTCCACCATCTGCTCCTCCAGCGCGTTCTTCCTCGCGCGCTCCCCGGCGAACCGCGCCATCAAGCGCTCGCCGAAGAGCGGGACCGGCTTCCTCCACTGCCGTCCCGTGAGCCGCTGGAGAGCGGTCTTGCCATCCTGGCCGCGCCGGTATCGGTTGATTACCGATGCGGCGTGCTCCGGCAGGTGCGCTAGCACCGGGTGCTTGTCCTCCACCTTGACGCCCAGCTTGGACTCCAGGTCCATCTTGAGCGCCCGCACCTGCTTCTTAATCTCGCGCACCGTGACCTCGATCTCCCCATTGGCCTGATGATCGGCCGGTGCCGACTCCTGGGGAATGGCCTCGAGGCCAGGAACCTCCTCCACCGCACGCCTCTTGACCAACAGGATCGCCGGCTCGCCGTCGGACTTGTTGACGATCTTCCTGTAGCCCAGGATCCGCAAGAAGCGTGCGAAGAACTTGATGGCGTAGGCGTCGTCGCCCTTCTTCTCCACGAATGTCGCTGCCATCATCTTCGAGCGCCGATCCCTAAGTACCAGCATCGGCATGGTGTCCGCGTCGTCCTGGCCCATGAAGGCGTAGTCGGACGAGACCACCGGCACCGCCGTCTCGTCGTCCTCCGGTGCGCGGAGATGCGGCTGGCCTTGGCCCTTTGCCGCAATACACACGCGACACCAGCTGCGATAAGTCGCGTGTCCCATCGCCTCGTGTTCGTCGATCTCCCTCTGAGAGGGCTCATGAGGTGCCTTCAGCACTCTCGGGCGAGCCTCCTCCTCGCCCTCGTCGGCCTGCTGTCCATCAGGAGCAGCTGGCAAAGCGTCGGCCGCAGCAGCTGCCGCTGGCTGAAAACCCGGCGGTCTCACGTCGGAAGGTCCCGACCCCGCCGCTGCCGCCCCCGCAGCCGATGCCGCCGGGGGCCGTGGTATTAAGTCCTCCAGTGGGCTTACGCCGAGGGCTGCCTCCTGGGGACTGTCTTCTCGAGGATCTCCAGCAGCTCCTCCTTCGACTTGCCGCTGAGGAGCTCCACTAGCTCGGACTTCGACTTCGCCGAAAGTCCCTCCTCGAGAGGAGCAACCGAGCCATGTTGGCCCTTCTTGAGGTAGAAGTTGTAGACGCCCTGCTCGCGATAGACCGGCAGCATCTGGTGCTTCGCCGCCTTCGCCTCCTTCTCGAGCATGCCTACCACGCGCTTGCCGATTGGGCTCTTCTCGTGGAATATCCAGCCGCCATTGCGACCCAGGAATGAACACTGTCCAGCTCCTGCTGCCTGCCCCACCGAGATCAACGGCTTGTGCACGTTCGTCACGCGTCCCTTGAGTGCTCGTAGCACTCCGTACTCGTCCTCCGCCTTGAGCTGCAAGCTGCCCTCGTCCGGGACGAGCTCACCACTGGCCGTACGATACGTGCTGCCGTTGCCCTTCATTCCCGTCGGCGGCGCGAAGCTCCGAGGGAATGCTGAGATAGCTGCACCGCTGTCCCAGTTGAACTTCATCCAGTCGTCCTGCGCGAAGGGGGAGAGGTCGACCGCCGCTATGCCGCGGCCGCTGCCGCTGGCGAGCTCCAGGCAGTCCAAGCTGCCCATGTCCAGAGCGGCGACCTCCGCTTCAGGCTCCTCCTCCAGGCTGCCTGCCGCCTTGCCGCCGGCCTTGCCGCCGCGGCTACCGACTTTACCACCAGCGCTTGCCCCCGTTGCGGATCCAGTTCCAGCCCTCGTACTCGATCCCTGCTCTTTCCTCCAGCAGTCGGATGCCTTGTGGCCCCATCTCTCGCAGTTCCGACAGTAGCCGTCGAAGCGCCCGCTGGTGCTTCGAGGTGCCGTGCGCCCTGAACCACGGCCCGAACCCGTCGGGGATGTGCGGGAGCCTGAGTATGATCCGTTCGTCGATTTGCTCTTCCCCTTCGGCTCCTGAGTCTTGCCTTTCCCTTTGCTCTTGCCGTCCTTGCCCTTGCCTTTGCCTTTGCCTTTCGGGGCTCCGAACGATCCGACGTCCATGTCGTCCGGATGATGCGCCCGCGCACGGATCGATGGCTCCTTGATCTTCACGCCGGTCCGAGCCTCTACGATCGTCATTACCTCGTTCAGACTGTCCTGGAACGTTACGAGCCGATGCTTGTTGAGTACGAGGTGGTTCTCGATGTCCTGAGGCACGAGCATCTCGAGGGCCGCCATCTTGATATCCTCCGGCAGCTCGGCCAGACCATCTTCTCCTTGGCGGCGTTCGTACCTGCCTATCTGCTGGATCCACTTCTCTAAGGCGGACCCCAGCTCGTCCGCGCTGCACTTCGGAGGCGAGATGATCGACCTCAGGATCAGCCTCTTCCTCGGGCCTGTCGTCGGATCCCACCTGCGGTGGAGCTTCCGCCAGGCTTCGAGACCGTTCCCGTCGGGGGCGCCCGTCACGAGGTCGTTGCTCTCGCTGCCGTCCGCCGTCGTGCTGATCAGCGCCGCGTACAGCTGGTTGACCTTGGTCTCCAGCTCTGGAACTCCGTCGTGCACCGCCCGAGCTCCCTCGATCGTCACGGGGCGTTCGGCTTCGGCTGCCCACCGAAGAACAGGGCGAAAACTCTCTCCGTACACGCCGATCACGTAGTTCTCCATCTTGCGATTCCAGGCGCCGAACTTCTCTTGGTCGTCGCCCATCGTCGTGGGCTTGCCGATCCCCTTGGTGTCTACGAGACCTTGAACGGCTCCACCCGCGCTCGTCGCGCCTCTGATCTGCTCGCCCATCCGCTCGATCGCCTGCGGGATTGCCGCGAGGCCTCCTGCCACCTGCTGCTGAAGACGCTGATTCTCGTTCTCCAGCCTCCTCATCTCGTCGGCTGCCTGACCTATTTGAGCCGCGAACTCCTGCCTCAGCAGTTCGAACTGATGCCGAACCTGCTCGTCCATGTTTGACAGCGTGTCTCTCGGCGAGCTCCTCCCTGCTCTCAGCTATCTCCTGCCTCGTACGCTCGAGGTCCGTGATCCGTCCTAGGACTTCCTTCTGCGTTCTCTCGACAACGTCTGAGGAGTTCTCCGACGGATGGTCCTCGATGTGCGCGAGGTCACGAAGCCTGTCGCCTGCCTCCCTCAAGTCGTGCTTGAACTGGAGCTGCTTGCGCCTGGTCTCGATCGCTGCGTCGCTCCTCTTGCCGCGCCTGCGGCCACTCTTCCCGGCCCCTGCCGGTTGCTCGGTCGCTGCCGAGCTCGCTGCGGCCGATGCCGCCCTCTTCCAGCCTCGAGCTTCCTGCCAGCTCGCCGTGGCGCCCGCGGACGCGGCGCGCCGAGGCCTTGGTGGGGTCGGCAGCAGTGAGTGGCCAGCTCACGCTACCATGATGAGATAGTATGTCGATGGACAAGATATCTCTTTTCCATCTTGAGCCAAAATGGGTGCACGGAGGAGGGTGTCAGAATCAAATCTGGAATCCAAAAATACCTACTTTCAACGACCGACGGGTACTTGCAACAGAAGGATCCTGGTTTATGCCAAGGTCGCCCGCGATGCGCCTGCGACCCAGGCAGCAGGTTGCCCGACGCGTTGTCCGATGCGTCGGCGGTTATCGATGCATTGGAGGCCCGACCACAAGAAACCTTCCACAAGAAACCCAACCCTGAGACCCCAGGACGTCCTCTGATCTTTGGTGCGGGAGCGTCACGCTTTCCATCGCAGAACCATCGAAACCCGAGAAACCCAGAGCACCCTGGAGGCAAGCAGGGTGTTTCTTGGCATGGGCCTCCACTGTATGGTAGGCCGGTCTGCGAGCCCGGGGAAACCTTCTTGCATGGAATGGCACTGCTCGAAGAAGCCGCGCCACTCGGGGCGCTGTGCGCGCGAAGGCCAATGCGGGACAGCCAGTTTCCGCGCGTGATTTGTCTGAACTGGCACGAACTGGTTCTCGCGGCGCCGCCGACTGGACCGGAAAGCGTGTTCCACTGGGGAACGCGCAGCATTGCGCAGCATGAACTTGACAATCCGCACGCGCTTGACCCAATGGCCCCGAACGGCTTGTCGCCCCCAGCGAGCACAGTTACCATCGAACTGCGGCCTCACCGAAGCACTGTCTACCTTGCCTGCACGGCCCGAAAGCGGGGAGCGCTCACGGGGCGACGGGCGACAGGCTGGAGGGAACAAGAAAATGAGCCTGGCGAAGGACCCAACCATCTGCAGTTCTACTGAGCACCGTCGCTGTATGCACCGCATTCGGAGGAGCTCCCTGCAGGGCCACGAGGGACGTGTGAGGGATGTGCCAAAATTTGTCCCGTGGGCGCATGCGAAAGCAGCCACTGGGGACGTCAGTGGAATTCCCTATGCGTCCACGAAACGAGTGAGGGGTGTGCCGAAATGGGTGTGCGTGACGCATGCTGGCGCTGGCACTGGGGCCTTCGGTGAAGCTCCCTATGGGGCCACGAAACGTGCGAGGGGTGTGCCGAAATAAGCGTGCGTGACGCATGCCGGCGGTGGCACAGGGGCCTTCAATAAAGCTCCGTGTGGGGGCACGAAACATGTGAGGGGTGTGCCGAAATGGGGGTGCGTGGCGCATGCGGGCGGTGGCACTGGGGCCTTCGGTGGAAATCCCTATGGGGCCACGAAACGTGTGAGGGGTATGCTGACATGGGTGTGCGTGACGCATGCTGGCGGTGGCACTGGGTCCTTTGGTGGGGCTCCCTGTGGGGCCACGAAACGTGTGAGGGGCGTGCCGAAATGGATGTACGTGACGCGTGCGGGCGGTGGCACAAGGGCCTTCGGTGGAGCTCCCTATGGGGCCACGAAACATGTGAGGAGTGTGCCGAAATGGGTGTGCGTGACGGATGCGGGCGGTGGCACTGGGGCCTTCGGTGGAGCTCCCTGTGGGGCCACGAAACGTGTGAGGGGTGCGCCGAAATGGGTGTGCGTGACGCATGCAGGCGGTGGCACTGGGACATCCGGTGTAAATCCGTATGGGGCCACGAAACGTGTGATGGGTGTGCCGAGATGGGTGTGCGTGACGCATGCGGGCGGTGGCACTGGGGCCTTCGGTGGAGCTCCCTATGGGGCCACGAAACGTGTGAGGGGTGTGCCGAAATTGGTGTGCGTGACGCATGCGGGCGGTTCCAGTGGGGGCTTCGGTGGAGCTCCCTACGGGGCAACGGAACGTGCGAGGGATGTGCCGAAATGGGTGTGCGTGACGCATGCGGGTGGTTCCAGTGCGGGTTTCGGTGGAGCTCCCTGTGGGGCCACGAAACGTGTGAGGGGTGTGTTGACATGTGTGTGCGTGGTGCATGCGGGCGGTAGCACTTGCGCCTTCGGTGGAAATCCCTATGGGGCCACGAAACGTGTGAGGGGTGTGCTGACATGGGTGTGCGTGACGCATGCTGGCGGTGCAGGGAGGAGGGGAGGAGGAAGGACAGAGGGAAGGAGGGGATGCGGGGACCACCCCCTCAAAACGAAGACCCAACACCACAGGATGGTTGGGAAAAATATCCTGGCGAAGGACCCAGACATATGCAATTGTGGGTAACGCGTTGTGGGCGCCGCTTTCGGTGGAGCTCCCTATGCGGCCACGAAACGTGTGAGGGACGTGCCGTAATGGGTGGGGGAGACGCATGCGGGCGGTGCCACTGGGGCCTTCCGCAGAGCTCCCTACTAGGCCACGGGGCGCTGTACTGGGTAGTGACTGACGCATGCGGGCGGCGCCCCTCGCTGGAGTTCCCAGTTAAGCAACGAAACGCTGTACTGGTTGGGAAACGCATGCGGGCAGTGCCACTGGGGCCGTCGATGGAGCTCGCTATGGGGCCGCGATACGCTGTGCTGCGTGGTGGCCGACGCATGCGGGCGGCCCCAGTGGGGGCTTCAGTGGAGCTCCCTGTAGGGCCACGAAGCGCTGTACTGGGAGGGGGAACGCACGCGGGCGGTCCCATGTTGGCCTACGAAGCGCTGTGCTGGGTGGTGACTGACGCATGCGGGCGGGCCACTGGAGCTCCCTACGGGGCCACGAAACTCTGTACCAGGCGGGGGAGGCGCATGCGGGCGGTGCCACTGGGGCCTTCGGTGGAGCTTCCTATGGGGCCACGAAGCGCTGTACTGGGTGGTGGCCGACGCATGCGGGCGGTGCCACTGGGGCCTTTCTGTGGATCCCTACGGGGCCACGAAGCGCTGTACTGAGTGGTGGCTGACACATGTGAGCGGTCCCACTGGGACCGCCTGTGGAGTTCCTATGGGGCCACAAAACGTTGTACTGGGTGGTGGCTGGCGCATGCGGGCGGTGCCACTGGGGCCGTCGGTGGAGCTCCCTATGGGGGCACGAAAACCTGCACTGGGTGGTGGCTGACGCATGCGGGCGGTGCCACTGGGGCTTTCGGTGAAACTCCATATGGAGCCACGAAAAACTGCGCCAGGTGGTGGCTGACGCATGCGGGCGGTGCCACTGGGGCCGTCGGTGGGGCTCCCCATGGGGCCACGAAGCGCTGTACTGGGTGGTGGCTGACCCATGCGGGCGGTGTCACTGGGGCCTTCGGTGGAGCTCCCTATGGGGCCACGAAACGTTGTACTGGGCGGTGGCTGACGCATGCGGGCGGTCCCACTGGGACCTTCGGTGGAGCTCCCTATGGGGCCACGAAAACCTGTACTGGGTGGTGGCTGACGCATGCGGGCGGTGGCAGTGGGACCTGCGGTGAAGCTCTTTTTGGGGCCACGAAACGCTGTTTTGGGGGGTGGGTGACGCATGCGGGCGGTGCCACTGGGACCTGCGGTGGAGCCCCCTATGGGAACACGAAACGCTGTACTGGGTGGTGGCTGACGCATGTGGGCGGTGCCGCTGGGGCCGCCGGTGGAGCTCCCTATGGGGCCACGAAACGCTGTACTGGGAGGGGGGGACGCATGCGGGCGGTCCCACTGGGACCTGCGGTGGAGCCCCCTTACGGGACCACGAACCACTGTACTCGGTGGTGGACGACGCATGCGGGCGGTCCCACTGGGACCTTCGGTGGGGCTCCCTATGGGGCCACGAAACGCTGTGCTGGATGGTGGCTGACGCATGCGGGCGGTCCCACTGGGACCTTCGGTGGAGCTCCCTGTAGGGCCACGAAACGCTGTACTGGGTGGTGGCCGACGCATGATGGCGATGCCACGGGGACCTTCGGTGAAGCTCCCGATGGGACCACGAAAAGTTGTACTGGGTGGTGGCTGACGTATGCGGGCGGTGCCACTGGGGCCGCCAGTGGAGCTCCCTGTAGGGCCACGAAACGCTGTACTGGGTGGTGGCTGACGCATGCGGGCGATGCCACGGGGACCTGCGGTGGAGCTCCCTGCGGGGCCACGAAGCGCAATACTGGGTGGTGGCTGACGCATGCGGGCGGTGCCAGTGGGGGCTTCGATGGGGCCACGGAACGCTGTACTGGGCGGGTGAAACGCAAGGAGGAGGGAGGATGGGGAGGAGGAGGAGGAGGAGGGGAGGAGGAGGAGGAGGAGGAGGAGGAGGAGGAGGTGTGAATTGCAGTGTGCATGCAATGGATTGCCTGCTGGATAATGTGTGTGCGTGTGTACTCGCCCACCCGTGCCCCTCTCTCCCTCGCCTGCCACTTCCGCTCTGGCCCAGACCAGTCTTGGTAAGCCTATCAGAGAGGCTCGCGCCAGGGGTAGC